GGGGTGGGGTTCTGGAGGGCAGTTAGGAGCAGAGGTCCCAGGAGGGGTAGTCAGGGGACAAGGAACAGGGAGGCTTAGGTAGGGGGTGGGGTTCTGGAGGGCAGTTAGGAGCAGAGGTCCCAGGAGGGGTAGTCAGGGGACAAGGAACAGGGAGGCTTAGGTAGGGGGTGGGGTTCTGGAGGGCAGTTAGGAGCAGAGGTCCCAGGAGGGGTAGTCAGGGGACAAGGAGCAGGGGGGATTGGGAGTTTGGGAGGGGGAGCTTTCAGGGAGCAGGGGTGGGGAGAGGGATCGGAGTAGTCAGGGGACATGGAACAGAGGGGTTTAGATGGGTCAGGAGTTCTGGGGGGGGCTGTCAGGGGCTGGAGAGAGGTTGGATGGGATGTGGGAGTCCCGGGGGTCTGTCTGGGGGTGAGGGTGTGGATAAGGGTTGGGGCAGTCAGGGGACAGGTAGGGTCCTAGGGGGCCAGTTAGGATGGGGGAAGGGTCTCAGGAAGGGGCAATCAGGGGACAAGGAGCAGGGAGGCTTAGGTAGGGGGTGGAGTCCTGGGGGGCAGTTAGGGGCAGGGGTCCCAGGAGGGGGCAGTCAGGGGACAAGGAGCAGGGGAGGGTTGGTGGTTCTGAGGGGGGTGGGAAGTGGGAGGGAGTGGAAGGGGCAGGGGCATGGCTAGGGCAGGACGGGGGTGGGGCTAGGGCGGGACTCCTCCCGTCCTCTTTTTTGATTGTTGAAATATGGTAACCCTATGCTCCACATTCACAAGGAGCACAGTGTGAACACACAGCAGCGCTTTCCCTGCTGCTGTCTCCGAGGGCTAGTTTAATTCCTGGCGCTCTACATCTGCAAGTGTAGCCATGCCCTAACTAACACTGAAACTATAACAAAAGGAGTTTTCTTTTAAGTGGTTATATTATAAAGTGTTTTGTTTGATCATGTGCCTTCAATTGGAGTTGTAGGGGCTCAGTACATCTGATAATGGGATCCTAGTTACCTAAAGCTGAACAACCAAAAAATGAAGAAAACCAAAATTAAGGGCCACTTCTGAAAACGTTAGCCCAAGTGATTTGCTCAAAGGCATATTGTAAAATAATAGCAGACCCAGAAACAAAATAATTATTAATGTGTAGTTAAATATAATTAAATTCTAGGACACTGGAGTCTCCAATATACCTGAAACTCCACAGCAAGAAGGTGCAAGTTATTGGGTAAGCACTTTCTGTCCTAGAGCTAGACTGGTAGTGGCAGTCTTTATTTGATTACATCTAATCATAAATCACCTTGTGCCAGAAATGGTTAAAATCATAGAGGACAAAGCCATTATATATTCCCCTGGACATCTGAATTCCTCCTCCATCAAGCAATCCCATGTAGTAAGTACCTGTTAGTTAAAAAAGAACAACTTTGTTTAAATTTAGAACATTATCATCTCCAGCAGATTATTCTCTTCAAAAGCAAGGGGCCTCAATCTGTCAAACACTTACACATGTGCTTAGCTTTAGTAAAGCAACCAGTGAAATAATCCCACCAAAGTCAAGTTAAATACATGTTTAAGTGTTTGCAAGACTGGGGCCTAATTTTGGAATGGATGTAAAATGCAGCCTTGAGGGACTTCCAAGGGCTGTATTAGTTGTCATCACCATTTCAATAAGCAAAATCAACCTCTATGACCCCTCTCCCTTTCTACATTCCTACCATCCCTCTACTTGAGTTTCCAAATTGGATATTTTGCAAGGAATGGTGAAATGACATTCTTATAGATTTTGAGCTGAGGAGATACATTTTCAACACATGTTAATGGAGCATTATGGTTTACATGGTTAAAATCAATTTTCAAATGTAAAAGTTAAGGCTTATTCCACATTAAATTGTTCACGTATTATATGTTATTTTTTAAAAATATATAGAAGTATCACCTACAGATCCCAGTCAGGATCAGGGTCCCCTATGTTTATAGGCCTTAATCCTGAGAACAGGTATTTGACTTTACTCACCATCAAGTCAATGGGTCTATTCACCAGTGTATGGATTTGCAGGACTGGGGGTCATATAAAGAGACAGTTCTTTGGAACAGGGATTATTGTGGCCTCAGTCCTGCAATGATCTCCATGCGGGCAGGACCTTGTGGCCACACACAGCTGCACTGGCTTCAGTGGAGCTCAGTGCACATTCAAGGATATGCCTCCATGGAGCTCACTGCAACACCAGAATCTAAATCACTGATCCGGCAAAGACACATGGACTTAATTTTGCTCCTGTGCATAAAGTTAAGCATCTGTAATTCTCTGCAGGTTTGTAGCCAAAAATTGAGACAAGAGACAACTAATGGGTTTAAACAAACTGTAAGCAGTGGTGAAAGGAGGAAGGATGAGGCATGTGGTAACATGATTTCTGATGCAACTGGAAAGTTGCTTTATTTGTTGTTTATTTTTTAACCTCTGCTTATTTCCCCCCCCCTTTTTTTTAAACCTGCTTATGTTTTTATTGATTTTTTGTAATACCTGCTATTTAATTTTTTTACTACCACCTATTTCAAAAAATTATTACTGCCTATTTCTATTTAATTATTTTTATTTCCCTCTTTTTATTAACTTCATTTTTAATAACTGTTTGTAACTATCAGAAAAGATACAAAAAAGTTGAATCAAAACAACACAAACTGTTCCATGGTGACCCCAATTTCACAAACTGCCATTGCCCTATAGTAAGTAAAGACATTTTTTCTTCTTCATTTTAAATAAAAAGAGTTAGTGATATCTCAGGGGCTTCTGAGGCTCTGAAGATTTCTGCCCCCTAGCTGTTCTTCCTCCCAAGCTGGGTTGCTTTGCCTCCTGGGGTGAGTGAAGGCCAACAGCTGCTGCTCCTCAAGACTGGGAAAATTCTGGCCCCATTACAGCTAGTTTGGGAGAGGGCACTTAGGTCCTCCAACCCCCACATCAGTCTCTTCCCAGAGAGCGGACTGGAGGGAGGGAGGCAGGCAGACCCAGCTGGGATATCCAACTGCCTACTTCAGTTCTCAGCTGTGCTTCTCTGTTAAAGCAGCACAAAGGGGCCAGAGGAGAGCAAAGAATTTGGTCCCCCTTATAGAGTGTCAGTTAATGCTGTACTTTATAGAAACTCACCAAAAAAGAATAAAGAAAGGAGGAACAGCACCAGTGAAATAATCTTTCGAGCCCAAATCTTCCTGGGGAACAGAAAGGAGAAAGAAAGCATAAAGTTAGCAGCATCCACATATTTCACGTACATATTCTGTATTAGCAAAAAGTTTCTTTAGGATTTCTTGAAGCCCATATTGTTGGCTTCATCCTGCAGCCTATTGAAGTTAATGGTGAAGCTTCTTTTAACTTCTGCAGTGGAGATTCAAGCACTATATCAAAACTGAAGAGACATTAAAATTAGTGATTGGTCTTATGACCCCTGATCCCAGAACTGGTTTCAGCAAGAGCCTAGATTGACACCAATGTAAATCACTCTCTTAATTCTTTGTCAGATTTGGGAGTGTGATTAATACCAATCTGTTTCTCCTGCCCACCTGCATGTATCTATTTCCCCACCCATCCTTGAGAAAAAGATTCTTGTTCATCTTTACCTTGCAAAAGCGCTGCATATTTTCATCACAAAGTGCAACAGAACTGTTATGCATAGTCCTAGCAAGTGGAAGACAAGCCTGATACCTTCTGAAAAACATGCAACAAGCACACAGTTAAATGAGCTCAGATGTAGTTAAAAATGCAGTTCTACTCTCAAAAGTCACTGCAAAATAGGCATAATAGGGTTCATGTTTGTTTCTCAGGCTATGTCTTCACTGCAAAAAAGGTGTGTTCTTAACTTGGGTTAGCATAGCAGTGAAGACACAGCAACTCATCTTTTAATTTGGATTAGCATTTTGATTTAAAGCATATGTAGAGCCTGGGTTTGACGTGGAGCTGTTAACCCTGTATTTTCACTGTTTTTTTAACCCAAGTTTAAAAACCACATTTTCCTTTTTTCCAATAAAGACATAGCCTCAGTTGTTCTAGATCACATTATCAGTTATAAAATAAAAAGATGTTGCTGCATTTCCTATCACCACCTCTGCAAAAAGTCCATCTGGTTTCTTTCTGGCTCAAACATCCTCACCACTAAGGTCTTATCTTCAATGCAACAGTTAACTCAAATTGATACACTTGAGCTACTCCACTTGAACTAACCTAAACTAAACTATAGATTCATTATGGAGCCTCCACAATTATTTTTATTTTTTTGTCTCCAACATTATAAGGCGAGTCCTTTAAGGTGCACAGTGAATGAGACAAGGAGACCTGTGGAGCTCTAGCTTTGGTCTCTCCCAATGTTATATACAAATGCCATGGACTCTGTCTGATTAGTACATAATACTATAAGATGCGTCCTGTGCATTTAGGGTTGTAAAAAAAAATTACATGGAATTATTTGTGAAATAGCATATGAACATATAATTGAAGAATATCTATGTATGACAATATAGAAGGGAATAAAGTTAATGTGGCACACGCAACCACAACTTTGTAACTTCCTGACTTTTGACTGCTTAGCCATGCAACCTTAACGTGGTCTTAATTCAGTTCTGCTTTAATATATTCCCCCCCCACTTTATAGGATGTGTCTATCAACAACATCTCTTTAGGTGTGCAAACAATCAAAAATGTAAAAGCCCATACAACAGAACAACTTACAAAACAAATGTAAGTGCACAACATACAACAATGCACACAACTAGACAGTTTACAATCAC